TTAAAAAATATTATCATATATATCGTGCATATATGCTATGTACATATGACATCATATATTCATATCATAACTATTAGCAATGCAAGGCTCTGAAGTGTAGTAGAATATTCAACCCAAAATATACCTCTCAGCATAACAAATACTATGAGCTAAAGGCAACTGAGAAGTTGATACAGGAAAGTTCTTTACCCTTCCCCTACTTAGCTAAAAGCAGGACATAAATACGTGAAGGTGTCCCCCCTTCCCTCTTTAAGGGGAAAGACAAAAGTTACCCTTATTTGCCCAAAGAAGATACCAAAGGAATCTACATAATAAAATGTATTAAGTAGCCTTTATCTTTCATTAGCTCCCCTATATATTTGCCTTCCTGTAATTTGCCATTCCTAGAAACTCAAAGTCCATTTCCTGTATCTTACCACTAATAATTGTTCTATTGTTAAGATGCTGTGTGAGCCCAAGTTCTAACCACCCACTGAGTTACTTATCCTGAGTATGCATCATGCAGGTGTGACTAAACTTGTTTGTTTTTCTCCTGTTAATCTTTCTGTTGTCAGTCTGTTTTAAGGGTCCCAGCCAGTGCACCGAAGATGAGTGAAGCAAAAAAGGATTCTTTTCCTCCCCTAGGGCTTTACAAGTATAGGGAACTTCTACCAATCTAGAGGACTTCCCACATGCCAAGTGGGAAGTTGAACTTTACTAAAAGTTTAAATAAAAATACTTGCTTCAGGGGGATGGAGCAGGACTGGATGTTTCTTGCCCTGTTCTTATTTAGTGGTTCATGTTCTTTACACCAAGGAAATGCCAAGTAATTAGTATAGGACAAATGAGAGACTGGTACATGACAGATGAGTAGATTATGTTTAAATATTTGAGAGATTACTCCAGAGCTTCTCCACCTCTCTAAAATGATAGATGGATGAGTGTCACGGAGGGTTCCTCCCCAGATCTTCTGCATCGGAACACCAGAGGGTGAGGCTAAGCTTTCTCTTTTTTCTTTTTCCATTCACCTGTAACTCCCCGATGCAACTGGAACATGTAATCTCAGCTTTCCTCCAACTTAAAAGAACCCATTTCTCTTCAACTGTTTCTCTTTCATCCATCATTGTAGTCAGATTATTCTAATTTGGGGCATTTAACAGCACAGAGTTTTTTAGTCCACGTATAAAGAAGCTGGTGTGTGGGGATATTAATGCTTTTCTAAAACTTTGGCAGTACCAGTGTACCTCTAAAATCCATTGCTCTGGCATACCATGAAATCTGGAAACCAGAAATGAGACATGTCTAAACCCATCAACCAAACTAGCTAATCTCTGGGGGGAGTTCAGTGAAGGTGCCCTTCACACTAATGGGATATCTCCTGGGTCCAGCGCTGCTGGAGTGTAATGAGGCAGCAGAATAAACACGCACCAACACAGCCATTCTACAAACAGCATCCCCACCAAGCTGTCGTGCTGGAAGATTCAGCACTCACTCTTAAAACAAACCTACTACTCAAACTAGTTCTGCTTGTACCTTTACATACCACCATCTGTGGCTACTTTTACAAGAAGGAGGAAGAAGAGAAGCTGGTATCAGGAAGAATTCTGATGATTGAGGAGTTATTTTTGAAAAAAGGTAAACAATTTTCTTTCTGGAAATGACTGCGTTTTCAGGTGTTTCATATTGTTGATATAAAAGTAGTAAACAGTGAGCAGAATTAAATGGAAGAGCCTAGAATCCACTTCCACTTAGGAGATGCATGGCCACATTTTTCAACATTACTTTAGTGTATTTTTGTTTCAATATTAATTATGAGTTTTGAATAATTACATATGATCTTCTAGGTAAATTAAGGTTTTGTGTGTGTGTTTATTGTATTTGTTTTTTAAATATCATAGTAAATCATCCCTATTAAAATACCAATGGCATATTTCACAGATATAGAACAAACATTTCAAAAATATATATGGAACTATAAATGACCCCAAGTAGTTGCAGCAATTTTGAGGAAGAACAAAGTACAAAAGATCACAATACCTAATATCAAACTATATTACAAGGCCACTATAATCAAAACAGTATGGTACTTGCATGAGAACAGACACATGGATCCATGAAACAGAATAGGGAGTCTGGAAATAAACCCATGTCTCTATGGCCAATTAATATTCAACAAAGGGACAAAAGTATAAAATGGAGTAAAAATAGCCTTTTCATCAAATGGTGTTGGGAGATCTGGACAGCTACATGCAAAAAAAAAAAACAATGAAACTGAATCAACTTATACCATATAGAAAAATAAACTCAAGATGGATAAAAGACTTAAACATAAGTCATGACACCATAAAAATACTAGAGGAGAACATAGGCAGGAAAATCTCAGATATTACATGCAGGAATATTTTCACCAATAGGTCCTTCAGGGCAAATATAAAGGAAAGAATAAACAAATGGGACTATATCAAATTAAAAAGCTTCTGTGCCACTAAAGAAAACATCAGCAAAATGAAAAGAGAATCAACCACGTGGGAAAATATATTTGCCAATGATACCTTGGACAAGGGTTTGATCTCCAAAATACATAAACACACACAACTGCACTCCAGGAAGACAAACAATCCAATTAAAAAATGGGCAAAGGACATGAACAGATACTTCTCCAAGGAGGACATACGGAGGGCCCAGAGACATATGAAAGGATGCTCAGCATCATTAGCTATCAGAGAGATGAGAATTAAAACCACAATGAGATACCACTTCACAGAGGTCAAAATGGCCAACAAATCAACAAACAACAACTGCTGGTGAGGTTGTGGAGCAAAGGGAACCCCAGGTCACTGTTGATGGGAATAAAGAGTGGTGTAGCCAGTGTGGAAAACAGTATGGAATTTCCTCAAAAAACTAAAAATGGACCTACCTTTTGACCCAGTTATTCCACTGCTGGGATTATACCCTAAGAATCCTGACACACTGATTCAAAAGAACCTAAGCACCCCAATATTCATAGCAGCACAATTTACAATAGCCAAGTGCTTAAAAAAGCCTAAGTGCCCATCACTAAATGAGTGGATCAAAAAATTATGGTACATTTACATGGAATACTACACAGCAAAAAGAAAGAAGGAGCTCCTACTTTTTGTGACAGCATGGAGTGAACTGGAGAGCATTAAGGTAAGTGAAATAAGCCAGGGGGTAAAAGAAAAATACCATATAATCTCACCTATAAGTGGAACCTAATCAACAAAACAAACAAGCAACCAAGTAGAGCCAGAGACATTGAAATAAAGAACAAACTGACAATAACCAGAGGGGAGAGGGATAATGGGGGAAATTAGGGGAAGGGTCATCAAGGGACATGTATAAAGGACACATGGACAAAGCCGAAGGGGAGGCAAGATTGAGGATGGGAGGTGGGGCAGGGGAGAGTGGGAGGGGGAATGGAGACAACTATCCTTGAACAGCAATAAAAATTATAAGTAAATAAATATCACGGTAAATCAAAGTTGCATTGTCCTCAATGTATCTGAAGGTAAAGCATATGTTCCATTTCTGGGCATATTTTCATTGTTGATACTTGTAAGTAAGTCAACATGTATTGCCCTGCCCTGCCCTGCCTTGCCTAGCCTCAACCAATTGCCAAATCAACACACAATAAACAAACAATTGCACTGCTCATGCAAAACCTTTTTTTAAATGTGATTATTCCCGGGGCCTAGACTGCAGCCCAGCTACCCAGTGGCTATGCCCAGTGTGGTGTGTGGAGGGACAGCATAAGCATCTAGGATCTGATATGCATAATCTTAAGCCCCATTCAGCCCAACAGAATAACGATGTGCAGTTTACCAAGATTTAAACAAGATCTTGGGGTGATGGGTATGCACATTAAAATTTGAACAGCACTAGCCCAGGGCAGTGTTTCTCTCCACTGGTGGTAAACTGATCACCTACATCAGCATCACCAGGATGTTCTTCTAAAAGTAGGTTTCTGGACACTACCAGGGACTGAGCAAAACAGACTCTCTGGGATGGTGGCACTTGAAACTGCTTTTTAAACAATATTTTTCTCACAGACACTTAGGCAAGCTAAAGCTTGAGAGTTCTAGAGTAGCATTTTAGAGCATTACAAGTGTTGTCATTTTCATCCACATGAGCTTTTCACCAGGCCAAAGTCACTGGATCCGACGTGCCGAGACTTATAAACTAGTCAAACACGCACACACAAATGGCATTAAAATAACTGCCAATGGAGAGAAACTGCATTTAGTACTAGAGGAACCACCCAATGAAGTTCTGCTGAGCATGTCTAATGAAATGCAGACTAGCCGGTTAAAGTGGCAGAGAAAACAAACCATGAATAATAACGCCGTCACATCTCCGGTACCTGTTTAATCATTACTCACTTGTACTCCTTTGAGACGTACTTAAAAATCAATTTGATTCTAACAGGTTACTTTCAATGTAGGACAAAGGTCCTTTTTTTTGTAGTCGTCAGACGTGAAAAGAAAGAACTCAAAAATATATTGAAAAACCTGTTGGTTTTATTTCTCTTCTCTACAGAGAAAGTCTTTATTGATAATTGCTGCAGGTGAATTTTCTTTCAAGTACCAAGCTGAAAGGTGTTACTCGGTACATGTGTTTCCAGAAAAGACCAGTCTATCTTTAATAAGTTTAGAAAATCCAGTTAGGTACAATTTTCGCTTTTCCTCTGGATGTTTGACATCAGAAAAACATGACTCGAAGTCCATTTTTGCAGGGTCCAAATTACCCCTGTAAACACGTGGACATTCTGAATGTGTTGTATTCCTCTCTACTTTCACGTAGCTGACATTTTCAAATTGCCAAACAGTTTGCCTTAAGAAATGAAAAACACCAGAAAGAGTAACACACAGGTCTTTGTTTTGACTTGCTCTCACAGAAAGTTAAACAGAAGGAAAGGCGACACTAACTGGGATAGGCAGTGACTCCATTTGAAAAACGTGAGGACTTTTTAACACTGTCTTACTTTCAGAAAGATTACATACCTCAGAGTACAGGATTCCCATGCCGATCCCTCACAGGCTTTCTTCACCGCCACAGCTTCCTGAATCCTCCGGAGGTATTTCTGATTAACATCAAAATGCTTCCCGTCAAAGAGGAAGATTCCAGAAGCCCAGATCAGCGGCAAACGCTCAATTTCCACACCTGCAAGTGCTTTTCTAGCAACACTGGCAGCTACACCACCTTGTACTGGGCCCAACCCAATGAGGCAAAGGCATTAGTTACCCAGTGATGACCCACACGGTGCATCATCTAATGTTACAAACAACCCTGAGAAACCGGTTTCTGAGTCTTACCTGCTCTGCCAGTGGGTGGTAGTGAGTAGAAAGAAGCAAAGTTGAGAAGGAAAGGAAATTCTTACATTGGCAGGAAGAACGAAGAGTTCAAAATAGGGTAGTGCATTTAGGGCATTTCCTAACTGAACTCTGGTTCTCAGAAGCTATTGAGAAAGGCTGGAAACCAACAAACTTGCGTTTTAGATCCATATGTCTGCCAGGGGGCTTGCTTGACCTTCATGGAAAATACTCTTCAAAACTGTCATTATGGATTATTTCCTCTCTTTAAGTACGGATAAGTTTATTCTTCCTTGATGTTGTTGATTAATGTACACTACTTAAAATAATAATTTAATAAATTAAGGTCAATTTATAAGCTAGTATACATACATTATTCTGTTTCTATATATAAATTATTTTATATTTTTATAAACATATTATTTTCTCTATTTAAATGTGTTCATAATCACTTTCAAGGCCTCTTTGTATAAAGTTTGAGCAACTCAAACCGAACAAACTAAACTCTTTGAAGAATCAATTTATTTACATTCTAGTTAATTAAATTATAGTAAAAGGTTTAAATTACCTTTATAGCATTACTATATTTAAATCTTCTTTTTAGGCACTTCAACTCTGAGCCTAACAGGTAATACTCTTCCAGCTAATTAAATGGTCTTATAAGTTTAATATATTATATTAATATAGGAATATTAAGTTGTCTTAAACATTCTAACTCTGTTTACAAATTTAGCCAAATTATTTTTTAATATTCTATTTAAAAACCGTAAGTCTAAAATCAAGTACTCTATTTACACATTTTAAATGGAATCACCAGGCCACTTGTGAAACATGCTAAGAGCCAAATCTCTTAAACATTGTAAACATTGCATACTAAATACCAGATATTAAAATATTTTTCTCTGAACTTAACACAATCATAGCAAAATGTTAAAATACCATACACTCCCATGAAAGAAAGAGCTCAATCATTCCAAGCGTTCTGATGGGATCGTTCCAATCAATTCAGGTTCTTTAGTGACCAAGGTTAGGCATCAGGATGCAAATCCTGAGCCTATTCAGGGAATTCTTCCTAATCCACTGATCACAGATGAATCATTTTTGTAATTGTTATAACAAGAAAGGGGTATTTTACTATAGATTTGGACTTGGCTCAAAGCTGGTAGGAGTTTTAAGAATTTGGTAATTATGTTGGAGACAGAAAGTCTGCAATACCCTCAAAGATTGCAGCTGACTTCCTCTTTGGATTGCTTTACTTTTGCATTTCTGTAGTTTCTTAAGACAGTGAAGTGTATTTCCCATTAACCTAAACATTGGTATTTCCATTGAAAATCTTTCCTTTGTTAGGTAAATCTTTCGTAACCTCCCCTTTAGCTTCTTTTGTAAGCTGTTTTTAACCCACTTGTATGGCAGACCACTTGGCTCCCACTACCTCTCCTCAGGTTGCAGCTGGGTTCCTTCTCCAAGCTCTTCCCTCTCCAGTGGAACTTAGAGGTTTCTTTAACTTCCTGTGGCGACCACAACTCATCTAATTGGATTCTGCATCTTGACTCTTTCCTGCATCTTAAAGGGTAGCAAGATATGCCATTCTAAAAGATGATTCTTCCGCCTACAGATTTTCAGTTGATTGTTTTTGGCAAACTGTAGAAATACGGGAGAGTCTCTGAACATAGAGTAGCATTTAGCCAGCTGTAAGGAATATTTAAATTTATAAAAGAAATCTCCATTTGTAAAGGTTTCTTCTGTCTATACCAGGGAGAAGGATGACTCTAAATCCCTGCAAACCCTTATCGGCAGAGAAGCCATAGACCCTGCATGATAAATTTTACCATTGTTTGCTCTGCTTTTCCTGGTTACCTCCCATAACTGCCCCTCCCCAGCATCTTTTCTTTTGTCTTCAGCTCAAATAGTATTTGCAGTGGTGGCTTGGGCCACTGCAGAGAGTTTTTACTCAGTTTTCCTGTCTATCTCCCATGTATACATGAGTTATGCATGTTATTCAACTTCTGTTTGCTTTTCCCTTGTTAATCTGCCTTTTATTACAGGGGTGGGAAAACCTCAGCCAAGAACCTAGAAGAGTATAGGAAAAATGACTTTTTCTCCCCTACAATGTAGTTAGTTATAAATGCACTATCCTCATTATGATTATGAAAAGTGAACTCTTTTGACATGTGGTTGACTCTAAAAACAAACCAATAAAAAAAATTGACTCCTTGGCATCGGTAAAAACACTTCCATTTGACTCTAGGCTAGTAAGTGTTTACCCAGGTATGATTTTTTACCCCCAGGTAGGACTGCCAGATTTAGCAAATAAAAACACAGATATTCAGTTAAATTTGAATTTTAGATAAGTTTCTAAAATATTACACAGGCGATTCTTAGAGTAAAAAATTATGTTGTTTAAATTAAGTTTAAAAATATTCAACAATGTCTGGAGGCATTTCTGATTGTCACAACCAGAGCAGAGGCATGAGACTTACATCCAGGCACATAGCAAAACATCCCACAGCAAATAGACAGCCTCTCACAAGAAATAATTATTCTGCCCAGTGGTTCAATAGAGGAACCCTAGCCTAGACCAACTGGACAATTAAAGATGAAGAAAGAGAAATTTGAAAAATTTATAGTGTTAGAATGGAATAGGTTGTAGAGGAGGGAAGAATTCTTTTTGTCTCCTAGGTTCTTGGCTGGAACTCTGTAACAAAACACACATCAACCAGAGAAAAACAAAACTTTGTTAGCATGTGCTTCTTCTATACACATGGGAGAAGCTCAGGGATGTAAAGCTCAAAGAGGTGTTTAAAATTTAGGGCAAAACTGCAATGACATACGACCTCACACCTGTTAGAGTGGTTATCATCATCAAGAAGACAAGTGACAGCAAGCGTAGGAGACGTTATAGAAAAAAAGGAACCTTCATACACTGGTGGTACAAATGTAAATTGGTATAGCCACTATGGAAAACAGTATGGAGGTTCCCCCAAACATTAAGAATAGAGTTACCATGTGACCCAGCAATTCCTGTTTTGGGTATCTACCTGAAAATGTGGAAACATTTACCTATAAAGTTACATATACCCCTATGTTCATTACAGCATTATTCATGGTGGTCAAGACATGGAAACAACCTAAGTGCCCTTCAGCAGATCATTGGATAAAGAAGATGTGGTACATGTATGCGATGGAATCCTCAGCCATGAGAAAAGGTGAAATACTGCTATTTGTGACAACATGGATGGTCTTGAGAATGTCATGCTAAGCAAAATAAGTCAGCTGGAAAAAGTAAGAGCTATGTAATTTTTCACATGTGGATTATAATAAAAGCAACAAATGAGCAAACAAGACAAGTAAAAAAAATCATAGACACTGACAATAGTATGATGGTTATGAGGGTTGGGAGAGGTAACAAGGGTTAAAAGGGGTCAACTCTATGGTGACGAAACAAGATTTAACTTTGAGTGGTGAACACAATGTAGTGTACAGATGAAGTATTATGGACTTGCACACTTAAAGCCTCTATAATTTTACTAACCAATGTTACCCCCAATAAATTTAAAAAATTTTTTTAAAGTAAGGTTGTCCTGGCCAGATAATTCAATCGGCTGGAGCATAGTTCTGATGCACCAAGTTGCCAGTTCAATTCCCAGTAAAGGCACATTAAAAATCAGTGAATCCATGAATAGATAGAACAACTAATTGATGTTTCTTTCTCTCTCTCCCTCTCAAATAAATAAATAAATAATAACAGGCTGATGCCTGACCAAAAAAAAGCAAGGTTATATATTATCTTAGGCTGAAGGAAGAGGGGTCTGAGGCTTCTGGGAAGGGAGGGAGGCGGAGGATATGCAAGTTATTAAAAGGTGACCCGGACAGTGTGGGAAAGCAGAATCGTTTAGTGAAGTTTGTTAGGCAGATTGAAGTCAGTGCCTTCTCTGTTGATAAGAGTTGTTGAGTCCGTTACAAATGAAAATGTCCTTCGTATAGATGTAAATTTATTTTACAGAAGGGAAACTTGTACCCTGTTTTTAGAGCTCTTTCTGTGTCTGCTTGTTCTCAATGGCCTTTAGCTCAAAATAATCTGTATACCAAAGAGACACGTTTTGTGGTATAGCATTTTGATACCCCTCATGGCAAAATACTGACATAATGAGGTCTGATACACAGATAATTTTTTTAATTTTTACTTATTGATTTTCTCTGGAGAGAGGAACCTTCTAGGTTCTTTGGCTGGTCTAATAATTAAATTGATATAAGACCGACTAATAGAAAAAAACAAATTTAAATACATATGTGTGGGAACACCCCATAAAGATATGAAGACTCAAAAAGCAGTGGCTAACTGAAACTTATGTAACATGCTGAGATAAGGAAAGGGGTCGGGTCAGGTCTGGGGGTTCAAAGCTGGGAAAGGCCATTCACAGGAAGGCAAAAGGAGGTGCTAGGAAATTAACACGTAAGTTACGCAGATAAGTTTCTTAGGTAAACAAAAGATATATACAAACATGTTTATATATAAATACCTATATTAAAATATATAAATACATATATTAAAATATATAAATAGTATATATATTATATATGTATATGATTCATATGAAATATATAAATATATATCTGGTCATAGCTCTTTTCATGGTATAGGCCCTTTTTTATAAAATGTAAAAAATAGGATATAAGTCTTCATATCTTTACTTTTAAAATATATCTTATATTTATAAAATAAGTTTCTTAGGTAAAAAAATATATAGGGGGGCTAGGGTTCCCTCCTTATTTATATATAAATATATATAAAAAGATATATATTTAATATATATATTTATATATAATTTCTTACATAAACTATAGTTTCAACTTTACCTAAGTTTCCTTTACCTATAGTTTACCTAAGAAATTACTATAAATATATAAAATATATAAATATAAATATACATATTTATATATTACATATATGTGTAATATATATAAATACATATATATTAGATAGATAGATAGATAGATAGATAGATATGGTAATAGCTCTCTTTCTGGTACAGGTCCCTTTTGCAATGTGAACTTTGGCAGTTGAGGG